AGGCGAGAAGGGTAGTGTTCTGTTACAAACCCAAGAGCGGTTTGATCAGTAATCCGGTGATAGTTTGAAACACGAAGTGTTGACAATCTTCCTTTTGGTAAACCTTAATGGCTGACGATCAGGGAACATGATGACCCATTGCTGACATGCAATCATAGATATTGTAAGGTGTCAAACTGATGAGTCGCTCGGCGTGATTCCCAATGGTGTAGAGGACCAGCTTTACTTCAGTGTTTTAACAGTGTAATCCTTTTGTTGTGTTATTGAGAGAGAGGCCACAAAGGGATATCTTGACGCTTAACCCTCACCTGATGTACCTTGCGGTAACAGTGATAAATAGAGAAACACAACCTTTGATATATATGAAACTGACATACGTCGGCTTGTCACAATGTTTTGGTGTGAAAGAAATATTGATTTTTGGGAATCTGATGACCCTAACATCCAAACCTGGCCTCGCAACAAATTCCTACATGCCTCCGAGAGCCCGGCCACATCCTACTAGGAGAGTTTTAATTTCATGGGACTCTTGCGAATGCTATAACAAGTTACAAAAGTTAATTTCCAAATTGCTGAAACAATCATTTCACGTGTAACCTTTTGCAGCGACGGGAACACAGAGACAGAGGGGTTGCGGCTATAAGGCTCTAGGCAAAGAAATCTGTTGTTTTAAATCTGTGCATGCACTAAAAGCCTGGCAGTTCTTATCCATTTTAATTAATGTGATCCCCCGGCGTTCCCTATCTCAACCCAAGCAGCTGTGTTTATGTGTGCGTACGCGCGCGTAGGATTTCTGAGTTATCTTTTTGCTAAATGTGACCAATACAACCTAATCCAACCCTCTATTGATTTACTGTCTGCCAACAATTAGCTCACATAACTCACGTCTGTGTGGGGAAAATATCGAGTAACAGACAAGATTGAAGTTTGGCCATGAAGAAAGAAAGATTTTGAAGGCTAAGTTCATCTGTGAAAGAGGGTTGCTTTGTATACCTCTTCAGGCAAAGCTTTTCATCACTTATTGATTGACCCGGTTAATCGAGCGTAGTCGCGTAAAGGGATAAAGGTAGAACAACGGAGAATTGATTTTCTTAGGAGGATTGATGGCTGCCTAGAAAGCCACATTTCTGTAGCGTATGAACTGAAATAATCTCGATTAAAAACTCATGTAAAAAAATGTAAAAACTTTATTTTTTCTGTTCAAACCCAGGCAAAGAAATCCAGGCAAAGATCTTCCTTTCTCTGACACTTACCGGATTCAGCAACCTGACAGATCAGACTCGAGTAGAGAGATGACGTCTAGGAAATAAAGGTTTTACAAGCTAATCTTTTTGAAAATAAAGAAGCTCAATTAAAAAATTTGCATTTTGGCTCCTTTGCTCCTTACACAGAATATTTGTGACCTGAATTCCAACAAACCTGATTTCTCAATTCTACCTATAGAAACCAGAACGTGGAACCAAAGTCGTATTTTCTAGTAGTCATTTTAGTAATATTAAACTAAACATTATCCTATTAGTTTACTTTTTTTTAACACTAGAACCGCCAGAGGTCGCTGTATACCTAAAACCGCCAACGGGTAAAATGTACCCGCTATTGATTTGCAAGGTACAATGTTATTTTATTTATCATACAGAACAGTGAGTTTTGATCGCACAGGGATGACATTTATACCAATAGAATCTGTGGACTCTCAGCTTTTCATATGAAAAATATCGCTACAAGTGCTGATTTAAACGCATGGTGTTAGACTTGTGTTTTGTTTCGGTACAATTCTCTCAATCTCTCTCTATCTATCGATCCATCTGTAATGTTCTGTTCTATGGACATATAATTGTCTACATAAACAGACGACGCGGACTACTTCTCTCATTCCGAGTGTCCATCTTTATTCAACTGGCACGTAACCTGCACACATGCATTACATCCTCAACGTGAGCTCAGTCATCCAAGATCTTATATTCTCCAAGATGTTACACTATCTATAACTACGGTATATATCTATCTCTCTCTTTCTCTATCTATCAATATATCTATCTATCTCTCTCTATCTATCTCTCTATCTATAAGGAACCGCAGTAGACAAAAGGCGTTGCTATAGCAACACGTCATGTTTACGCTGTATTTTCTATGAGGTAAATATTATCCGCTGGCGGATATGGGTATAAATGGCAATTTATTTGACCATTTTTAACAACAGAGGGTGCTATATAACACACTTTCAGGAAAAGTCACGGACTGGGAGACTTTAATATGTTATGGAAAAAAAGTTACATACAATAAAAAAACAGCTGCGGGTAAAATGTACCCGTTGGCGGTTCTAGTGTTAAACTTCCTCAACACAAATACCTGCTTGAATACAATTATTTCTTATCTACCCTTTTATTTCTTTGGTGGAATGGGGGATTAGGAGGCGTTTAATTGGCCCACAGGGCCATTTGATGATCCCAAAAGCACTTATTAAGCATAATGAAGCATTAACCCTCCTCCACACCTCCATGCCTCACCCTTCCATCTTAGGGATGAGGATATCTCCCTGGAGCCAGCCGCAGTCTAATTCAGTGTTTTCTCACAGTGGGTCTGTTCTAATTCATTCCATAATGAGCGTCTTTCATGTGGAGTTACATAAGAAACTTAGGGGACACACTTCTGCGTCACCGGCCTCCCCCGGGCAGGTGTGGAGGAGTTGTTAGGGAGAGTGTCATCGGGTGGCAACCTGTTGAAGGACGGGGCCAGCCAATCATCCTGCAGCCCCCCTGCTGATTCTCCAGCTGCTCTCCTTCCTCAGATCATCTCCTTCACTCAATGGCCTCCATCTCGGCAGTGTATTTTTAGTCGGCCCCCTGAAAGTCAATCACCTCCTTTCTGAAGGTGTCCAAATAAAACACCAACTCTAAAGAAGCCGGGCCAAAGTCAAAAAGCTTTGACGTTAGAAGACTTCTGTTGAATGTTGAATTTATTTCTACATTTTTTATTTGAGTTTTTTTCTTCAGTTTTTTTTCTGATTGACTGATGCTATATTTAAGCAATAGCTCACGACAGGCCGTGGTATATGCTCATTATATCACAGCTAAGGGGCGTGGTTCAGCCCGACATCCCCTTAGCACCAATACATGTTGAGAAACCTGTGCGCAGAAGGTTCTAAGTCAGTCATGTGTCTGATTTCTTTAATATCGAGGTTTGCATGTTTTGCATGAAGAAGAGACACATTAAGGCCGTAAACTGTAGTCGATCTTTGTACGTCGTACCACAAAGTCTTTTTTTATTTGTATCTGTGGTAAACCTGTGTATCTGCTATTAGTGCCAGGTGTTACCAAGCAACCGTTACTTTTTTGAGACTCCTCATCTCCACTCTCTTCTTTTCAATGATGGAGGTAGTGTGCTGCAGAGCGAAGTTTCTTTTTTTAAGACGAAGGCTATTTCTCTTACCCCATGCCAGTTTGTTCTGAGAAATTGACAGTGGTGCAACCTTGCTGGGAATTGGAAGAATATCACAATTGTTGAGAAGAATGAAGCAAAATAACAGCCTGCTGAGACGGAACGATTGACAAACCTTGAGATCAGCACGACCTAATACAAATATTTGTATTGAATTTGTAGCCTGAAGGAAACAGCCTCAGGATTACTGGAGTATGAGGAGTAGGAAAGCCCACGTGGAGGCCATGTGTTCCCAGCATGTCCCCCCAGGGGTCTGTAACAGGACAGGCCTTGATGTCATTTCTCTACCAGCCTCAGTTTAAACGGCCTGCCAAAGAATGCCTTGCTGAATGCTATTGGGGGAAGAGCCGTATGTTCTTCAGGTCATGACCTCTGATGCTCTGTGACGGCCTGAAGGCTGTGACCTCTGCCTAACTTTGAGAGCATCATGTTACTGTTAACACTATTTCTGTGTTATTGTCACTATCATGCCAACATTAAAGCTAGAGATTGGTCAACACTTTAGAAGCAAGAAATTGAGTACCTAAGTCAATTAGGACATTTTTTTTGCGGTTAAGGTTTGAGTAAATTTGCTTAAATCGCACGCACAATAATAATTGTACGCGTACGTCGAGTAGTGTTCAGTCATACAGAAACATTTTTTTCTTGTGAAACTTAGGTTGTCCACTTCAGTAGTAAGGGCAAACGTCACTAGCATACAAACACTTTTCAAGTAGACTATTTCTTCCGTAGAACGTAGTTCCAATAAAAAAGGTAAAAAGCAATTACATCATGATGATTATAGTTCTCAGTTTAAGTTTAATATGCTGTTACATAGCCACATAAAACTTTTAGTGGGAAGTGAAAACCTTTTCCAATTTGGATAACCCTACCCAGAAGATGCATGTAAGTCTATCAACTGAAATGTCCTGCCTCATAAAACTTTTCATATTTTATTTAAACATCATTCCAAGTTCATTTACATTGTTGAATTGGACTTTGCCTCAGTGCACACTGAGGCAAAGTGCACCTCGTCTCACATTTTGGAGAGCATGTCCTGCGACAGTGCTTTGCATTGTATTTGCTAAATTCAAAGATTGAGAATTTGCAATCGGCATCTTGTCACAAGATAGTCATACCTTCACTGGGCGCCCAAAGGCACTGCTTTGCTGTTGTCCTAGTCAAAAGAGGAGCCTGTACGTATTTTTTGTTTTATCGTCAGACCAAAAAAGGAAAAGATGTATTGTCACATTGAAAGTCCAATTTCTGTCCGATGTTGACTACTGTTGTGCAAATACAATGCATATGATATAAAGAAGGCAAGATTGTGTTTAAAACAAATCAGAAACTCTTTTGTAATGGTGAAGAAAAATCGTCCCATATTTCAAAGGACTGGACTCGCACTTATAGGCATGTTTTTTATGATTCCATCTATTTTGTTATATGATGCTTTGCTTAAATGCCTTAGAAACATACAAGATCCAGATTTTGTTAAGGACTGGTATTTTAAATACATTTCTAATAGGGGTGTACCGAACGAATATAACGTTAAACGTAAGAAATTGAGAAAGTGAACAACTTTTTGGAAGTAATCTCAGGTGCTGCGTCGCAGCATTCAGAGTAATTTGCTCACATTGGGTTCATCGTGTCATAGAGCGAGCAAGTCATTTCATTGGACGAGAGGCATACTATGAGAGCAGGGATGCGTTCAAATGTAGTCAGAAATGACTTGCTCGCTCTATGACACGATGAACCCAATGTGAGCAAATTANAATCTGAATACGTTTTTAAGACACGTAACTGTAACTGTATTCTGATTACTTTCAGAGCATGTAGGCCAGGGCTATTCAATTGGCGGCCCGCGGGCAAAATCCGGCCCCCGGGTGATATTTACTGGCCCTTTGAGTATAATGTTAAAAAATAAAACATTAAAGTTTAATTAAAAAAAGATTTTATTTAAAAAAAAAATGTTTGGGCCAGAGTGCCTTTATTCCTGAGAGGGTGTTACATTGAGAGATAGAGGGGAAGACATTGCCTGAAAACTTTGGCGGGCTCGGGTTTCGAACCCACCTACTAGCAACTCCTGTNGGTTTGGGAACATTTTGGTTTCGCAGTTACGTACAAGGATGACGGACAAAGACAGGTGGACCGAACCAAAGCTGTTTGTCGGCATTGTTCAACTACAATTGGTTACACGGCTGGCAATACATCAAACTTGCACACTCATTTGAAAAGGCATCACCCGAACGTGAATATCACCGGTACCAAAAGAAAAATGACTGAAGTGCAAACCCAACTCCCGCTAGCATTTAAGCCTCCACCACTCGCAAAAAGTTCAGACCGAGCCAAAGCTATTACAAACGTCAAATATCCTTATGTTTCCATGTTAGCAAAGTGCTACCTGGCTGTATCTGCTACCTCTGTCCCTAGCGAGAGGGTGTTCTCCACAGCAGGAGACATTGTTAGTGCCAGCAGATCTGCTCTTTCGGCAAGCAATGTGGACAAGTTAATTTTCTTTAAAAAAACATGAAAATCCTCTTTGAAGAACCAGCACCTTACCGTGGTAGAGAGGTTTGTGTGCCCTGATGAACCTGGGGGCTGTGTTGTCTGGAAGGTTCCAGACAACACAGCCCCCAGGTTCATCAGGGCACACAAACCTCTCTACCACGGTAAGGTGCTGGTTCTTCAAAGAGGATTTTCATGTTTTTTTAAAGAANGCTATTCTTATTCATCTCAGCTGGACGCAAGAGTTTATTTTTCATCATAGCAATCTGGAATGAAGAAACCGAAGACCAACGCACACGCTATTTGTTTATATCACGCAGTCTGTCTTCCAGTTGTTGCCTCTTTTGAATGACGAATACAAAGAGTGATCTATTTGGTCGACGGCCTCCCGATTCAACATGTCGAATCGGCGGCGGAAGGTGTCGGCACGGCCGAAAAGACACAACGGTGCAGTACACACCAATCTGAGTAGGGTGACACGACGCTCATCGACGGCCCGACATCTATCGACGCTGAAAATCAGCTTGGTGTGTAAGGAGCTTTAGCCACACTAGTGAGCAAGACAACCCTAAAATATTGAATGTAATTGTTCAAAGCCAACTAACTCCCAACCTGCCTTCTTCAAGTACCGTGCCCTGCCACTTGGGGGTGCTAATTTATACACTGAAATAAATTACTTGATAAAGCCATGAAAACCACATAATGTGCAATACAAAGAGACACCTGAGTTCAGGCACTATCAGCTCCTCGTATGTACTAAAAAATTATTTCCATGTAAAAAACTGTCAGAACCAGTAAGAGTGATCCAGCATTTGATAGTTTGGCATCCACATGGAATTCTGAGAATGTCATGATACCAGGAATTGAGTTTCCAAACCATTACTAATGAAATTCCAGGACATGTCAATAGAGAGTTTACTGTGCTCCAACGACATTGTCCACTACCCCCGGATGCCTTTAAGCTGCCATTGCATGATAAGAGTTTTGATTTGTGTTCACCACAGGGATGGGTGCAGAGCCTTTCTTAGCTTTGTTTCAGCTCCCCCACCCCCCTAATGTGCCACGGTATAACAAAGGGCTGGTCCCCTGGTGACCCAGACAGAACCAGCCCAGGATGCTAATGTATAGAGAGCTATAATTGCTTTTAATCTAGCCCCTCCCCTAGAAATGCTTTGCCCTCAGAGACAATGTTAGGGCCTATAACTCCTTTTATTCTTTAATCAAGCTTGTAAATGACTATATGAAGTTATTCTTCCCTTTTTATGGCCTCACAATGAAATTATTGCAGTACTTTACTGCGCTGTTAGTGAAGATCTCTCAGAATAGATTGCTAATTGCACGTATTGTTAAATGCAAGTATACCATCTCTGGACTTTTGATTTTTCACACATGATAACATCAAGATCTTTATACATTATAAGTAAACTGTATGGTAAATTAAGAAAATATTGAAAATGAAAGTTAATTGTGCAAACAGTAAAACTCTTACTTCTGGATTCTTCAGTTCCTCAGTTAGGTAATTCAAAGTGTTCCACCCGCCAAAGGACCACAAGCCCTGATAGAAAGCAATGCCAATGGAGCTGATATCAGCATTTGTGTTCTCAAGGGGCTCTTCAAAGTTCTCAGTGTGTCCCTGGAAAAGCATCACAATGCCTCCCAATATGATCACGGCCAATGCAACCAGTTTGAATACCATGGAAACCACCTGGATCCAGACAGCCAAGCGTACGCTCAGACAATTAACGGCAGTCAGACCCATGATGGCTGCTGCAGCTATGCACTTTACTGCCAATATTGGAGGGGTGCAGCCGCTGTAGAAGGGGGCAATAACATATTCAGCAAAGCTCAGAGCAACTCCTGTGGCACTGGCAGGCCTCATGACCACGATGAAGCTGAAGGAAAACATAAAGGCCACCACTTTTCCGGCTGTCCGCAGGATGTAGATAAACTCTCCTCCAGACTCTGGTATGACTGTTCCCAGTTCAGCATAGCAAAGTCCTGCTAGCATGGATATGAAACCACAGAGGGTCCATATGATAAAACTTGCCCCGGGGCTGCCGATAGCAGCCAGCACAAACTGGGGGGAGATGAAAATCCCAGATCCTATAACGGTGCCAGCAATGAATGATATACATCCTATAAGGCCCACTTCCCTCTTCAGATTGATCCTCTTTGTGTCACTCTCCATTGTTGGACTGCTACTGTCTCCTCAAAGGCATTCCCTAACCCTTGCCCTGTTTCCTGAGAAGGCGTTGATTCTAGTGTAGACATGCCCATTTGTTCGATTGCAGGGTTTTACGATGAGATGGCCCTTCCTTCACAGATACACATAAATAATCACATATTATTTATCCCACATTACTTTTACAATTTTATTTATTTATAATATTGCACACATGCCAGTTATATCATTGTTTATTTTCTACGCTTTTTAATTTGTAATAAAGTGCAAAAAATGTTTTGGAGCAAATAAAGTATATCTTATTTTATAATCTGAATTGTAATTCAATAATATGTAGCCTTTCATTATTTTGAAAATGGACTGTCTCCATAATTAAAATGTTTACACTACCTAATGTTTGATGCTCATACTTTTACCTTTACAATATATTGCTTGAGTATGATCAAGGACACATTGTAATGCTAATGACCTGCTTGGGCCATGAGAAGAGAAGCCCACTCCGGGAATGGGACAGAAATTAGAGAGGCCAAACTTTTTTGGCAGTAATTTTAACATAAAGAGAATAACAATGAAGCTGAAAAAAACACCCGTCAAGCAAACTCAAATACACTATGTTCTCCATAGGTGGGAGACCTGTGGCACTTTCCGATGGGCCATCAGGTGTGAAACCAAGAGAGTCACTCCCCTGCTGATCAGCTTCAATGAACTGCCGAGCCTGTCATTTGCATTAAAGCCAGACTACTGATTGATTTTATCCTTGCACAACATTTGTGAATAAACGCAATTTGTGATTGTTTTAGCAGTAATATTAAACAGTAATAGTTAAACAATAATACAGTGAAATGAACAATTAGCACTATAAATATTCTTGATTGTCCGTGGTGAGATGACAAGGCTCCAGAGATAAATCCCCCTTGATTTACCTAAGCAGAGAAATAAACATTACAGCTAATTATTAAATCTTGTTTAAAAAAAAATCTAAATAAATATGTCTCCCGGTCCATAAATCTAATTACGTTTTCAGCCACGGAATCAACAGTAACTTCTGTATTCTACAGTGAATTCACTTTTCACCTGTTTTGATTTCAACAAAACAGCTTTTATGGAGAAAATAAGTTAAATAATGATTAACCAGAGGCATGTTTTCTCACTATTTCATGCATAGAAACCACCAGTTGTTTTGTGTCTGTGTTAGAAGCACACACCCTATAATCAGCTGTTTATTTCATATGAGTTCCAATGTGGCAGCTTCTTAATCACTTTGAGCTCTGCTCACTGCGTTTTCTAATTTTTTTTGCTAAACTTGAAAGCATCTGGATTGGGATCAATGGAAAGATAGATGGTCATATGCCATCAAACCAAAGGCAGCTGCTTTAACACACAATCATTTACTTTATTTTCTTTGATAGGCTGTTATATTCAAAAATACCATATTAGGCCTTTTTGTCGAAATTCACATCGGCTGACATTACCAAACGATTACCTGGCCATAGTAACTCACTTCTGCCGGTGACTTTACAGCACCTACATTTGCCAAGACCTTAATGCCTGAGGGGGAATAAAGATGAGATTGGGCCAGCCCGGTGTAGTGAAGGCCGGTCAGACAAACAGACCAGACCAGCAGAAAAATTCCCAGAACACCAGTCCACCCTGGCCATGAGCGCAATACAGTCACCCAACAGCAATGTGAAAGCGCCGTGAATTTCCCCACTGTGGGACGAACAAAGGCTCCAAGATTGCCAAGATTCATGAAATTCCACCAAATATTATTGTATGCGCAGAGGCATGACAGGTGGGGCGCGAGAGACCAGGAGGAAAAATAGTTTTGAAAAAAAAAGAAGAAAAAAAATCATAATTTGAAAAATTATTGATTCGAAAATAATATGATACCGTAAAGTACAAGTACGTCTGGGTCTCTGTGTTTCATTCAAGCTCGGATCTGGGTGTGTGTGGGGAACAAGCCATTTTGTGTGCGTGCGCAAGCGAGAGAGAGAGAGAGAGAGTGCACCGGTACCGGAGATCGTTGTTGTTAGCTTCTGGTGCTAGCGAGCTAGTGGCAGGGTCTCAAACGTTTTGGTCACCATTAATGTAAACAATTATTTCCGAGGCACACGTTTATATGATCATTATAGTTATAAAAAAATAAGATAATACATTAAAAACAGGTATGAAATACTATATGACAGTAAAACAAGAATAAAGTTAAAAGGGTGATTTGTAAAATATCCATAAAGAAAAAGTAAATCTGTTTACAGTTCTGTTTCAAATGGGTGTTGAGAGATGTATCCATAGATCTCTTCATTTTGATCTCAAAGTGCACCAGATTGATGCATTTAACTTCAATATTTAAAAAAAAATCTTCTCGGGGGAGCTTGCCCCCGGACCCCCCGATGTTAGGTCCACTCCCCATTTATAAAAATAGCACTTTACCCCTGCTTACACCTACTGTATAATATGCCATGAGCTGATTATCGAGCCTTCATTGTAACTGTCACACTGTGTATTTGCGTGAGGAGTGTTGCTGTAGAAAATTCCACTGTAGCGACCGGTACCTTAATGGGAAACCCTAAATGATTGAGCACCCTCTAAGAAACGTCAAGCTATCCCACAGCACAGCACCCCCAAAAGAAATCTCTGGCGCCACCACTGAGCCTGCAACCCCGTTTTGAAGAAATGTGCAGTGCCACACAGGCTCATTGCAGCCACTAATACTGTGATAAGACACACTTTCTTGCCAAATATCAGCATTTTCTTTCTTTTCATTTTTTTACACAGATTTTATAAGTTATTGTTCTTGCAAAGGGATTGCACAATTGTATTATGTATTTATTTTTTGACCACACAGACTTATGGAGCATTGTTTTATTACCACTGTTCTAGCAAAGGAATGCACACGTTCATATTGATGTATTTTAATAAATGTTAACTTGGCCCATTACGTGACTATTTGTGTTGGGGGAGCCCGACTTATTTTTTTTTCCAAAGGGGGGGGGGCCTGACAGAAAAAGTTTGAGAACCACTGTTCTAATGTGTTACATGTATATAAAAATCCATACATAAACTTTGTTTGCTTTTCATTTTCAAAGTCTGAGTTTCTGCCTATAAATGCTCTAAAATGAAACATGTTTTATTTGGAATTTGGCGAAATATCAGTATTTTATTATTATTTTAAACAGCAGTGTTCATGTCAAAGCCAAACCCTCAAAAAGTAAAACTTGTGACCTCAACATTTGATAGCCACTCTTTCCAGGGCTGTATATTCTACAATGGGTGTTGTCATGGCTTTAATAAAAAAGTGTGATAAACATACTTTACAACACACCCTCTCACTTGATTTCACCACTTGAGAAAACATTTATTACTTTATTGCTTTAAGGTGATGTTTGGGGAGACGGCCAGTGTATGAATTAAATAGATTGCACATTGTTCCTTATCTTCTTCTAATCCTTCAATGTTTAACCGCTTCCACAAAAACCCCATATAACCATTAACTTACTTACCTCTGGACGTTTTAACTCTTCAGTTACATAATTCAGGTTGTTCCAGCCATCATAGGACCACAGTCCCTGGTAGAAAGCAATCCCAATTGGATTGAGGCCCAAATGTGTGTTCTCAAAGGAGTTTTCAAAGTTTTCAGTGTGTCCTCTTATGAGCATCACCAACCCTCCTATTATGATGACCACCAGCGCCAGAAGCTTGGCCACCATAAAAAAAACTTGGATTTTCATTGCAAAGCGAACATTAAGGCAGTTCACGGTGGCAAGCACTAATATTGAAACTGCAGCCATGCCCTTCACCAGCAGCAACGGAGGGGGGCAGTCTGCGTAGAAAGGAGCCAAGACGTATTGAGCAAAACTCAGTGAGATGCCGGCGACACCAGCAGGTCTCACAAACAACACAGAGCTGAAGATTAGCATGAAGGCGACGACCGGGCCTGAGGTTTTCAGGATGTAGATGTACTCCCCCCCGGATTCTCTGATAACAGTGCCCAGCTCAGCGTAGCAGAAAGACGCCATTATAACCAGTAAGCCACAGCATGCCCACACAACCAAACTGGCTCCAGGGCTGCCTATGGTGGAGAGCACCGTCTGTGGGGACATGAAGATCCCAGATCCAATCATCGTCCCACCGATGAGGGACACGGCTCCCACCAGCCCAACTTCCCGCTTCAGGTTGAGCTTCTCTGTCTTGTCATCCATAATTCCAGATGTGACCTATTGTCCGGGACCGCCACCAATGGAGGAACGACTATAATTATGTGGCCAAAGTCACTATTGCAGCAACTCAGGCAGTTAATAATTACGTGGTTGGCTATGTAAGGTTTCCGTTTTGCTTTGTCTCTTATCTTTTTTTTTTAAAGGGTAGAAACGCACTGTAATGGCCCTGGGTTCGTCAGATTCATTTGTTGACAGTATTCCTTTTTTCAGGAGGTCAGATAAACAGAACAACTGAGTAAGCTGGGCTCATAAAGTCTATAAAACTGACCAGTTATTTACCAGATTCTCACACTCGTTCCCTTGGTCTACCGGCTGGCATTGCTTATCCTTTAAGCTTGTGTTTAACATCCACAAAAATCACTCCCGAAGACATAACATACTTCACTGACCTGCTCACAGTTTAATGAAAACATTTGAAAAAACGTTTTTAAAAAATAGTTCGCATTAGCATAAGTATTACTACTTTAAATTATTCTGGCTTAAAACTCCTAAAATTCTTATTCTTAATAACGGCAACACTCCAGTATTAAAAGCTGCAAGTAGGCAGTTTATTTTGGGCTTCATCTGGCAAAGAGAGCCAAAAATTGAGAATACAGCCCTTATCCTACAGCTCTCTCCTCTGTCTTAAACCCTTCCCAGACATTTTCCCACGCTTCCTTTGTTACTTTCCTTTTGGTACACATCTCCCACTGTGATTGTGAGACTGACCGTTGAGCGGCCCGACCAAGCAAGGAGGCAGAGGCAGAACGTCCAAAAATATAACCCGGTGTGGGCATTTATTAAAACATTACACACAGCCTCAATCCTGCTGCTGCTGTTTCACGTGAGCCCAGCCTGCAGCCACCAGGATCTCAGGCCCTACGAAGCCATTGCGGGACGGTCTGGCCGTCGGTCTGACTTGTCAGAACACCGGACCCCACTACCCCAGAAACTATTAGGCCTCTCCTAAGAGAAGGGACTCGGCGACCCTCATTTCCAGGAGTTAGTCCTACCGTGAGACAGGACCACTACAAGACCGTCATAAGAATGGTGGGAGGACAGTTTCCGGAATGCTAACTCCCGGCCACGTCGACGGCATGGTCCGCGGCACTACGTCGGTCAGTCTGCTAGGAGAGATACCACTTGGACATCTTCCAGTCCTACGAGAGATGGACCAAAGATGGATACCATCTCAAGTCTCCATAGGACCTCAGGTAGACAACTTGGAGGAGTCGGGACTCCTCGCTTCTTCGGACCCCATACGTGCAGTCCTTCTAAGTCGCTGAGGTCTAGTGTCCTCCACGCGCACAACTCGGCTCCAGAGAACTCGAACTACTGGTCGAACCTCCCGGTGTTACCGATAACTTCCGACTTGACATTCAGTTACTGTCGTAGAGGTGTACACAGAGGAGTACGCCAGGTCCACACTCTCCCGGTCAACACCTACCCACTCCCGATACTGCAGCAGACAGCCTGGACAAACGAGACATCCGTTTGACGTCCCCCAGGTCTCTCGAGTCCCCGTCCTCCTCCACTACTTCCAAACTGATTTGACGGAGTTGTCGTGAAGTATTACTACCTCCACTCCACGAAAACTCGGAATCAGTCGGAAATTCTATTTCTGCTGCAATGTTTTATGTATTTGTGTCGTGGCGTATTATCATTTTGGACATGTGATTTTTCAGGTCATTTTCTCGATAAATTTATATTGTCTGTCAGTTTTGTAAGTTGTACTCTGCCATTTTGATAGTCGTTGTCGGCGATAACAGTAGAGTCGATCTCGGGAACGATCTGTGTCATAGAATTTCCCGAAATGTTTATGTACAACCGTTTTTGTTGCCCGTCTTAAACTTATTAATGCTAGTGACCATTGCTGTCGTGGCGGCAAGTGACGATAAATGAATTTACCGTAATTAATATATGTCAAAGTGGGGGAGTAGAACAAGACAACAAAGGCCAGCAGAGACACCAAGGGAGGACAACCTAATAGGCTAAACAGAGTGTGACCACGGACACAATGAGGAGTTTGGGAGTGGACACAGATTAGACGGAGGGGGTATGTGGGACACAGAACAATCAGACACACACATAAATCCTACGACACAGAACTCTCGACCATC